TAGGATAGGATTTTATTCATTACAGGGCTGGGGCAGTACCTCCAGTCGCTTGCAAAAATCATGATCACAAAATTGAAAACTATCATTTTTCACCAATTATAACATTTTACCTGTATACCATGACAAGTTTTGGGCCTATTTTGTTTAGCTTAGATAGCTAATACAGTAAATTGAGTTATAGAGATGTGTTCAAAAAGTAGTCAAAAATGTAATAATAATAATTTAAGAAAAATATCTTTCCATGTTTCTGAATAAGTCCAGATATTAATTATGTGGTTTCAACAATAAAGAGTGATAAAGCAAACCAATATGTTAATAAATTGAAAAGTGGACCGAGTTGAAAAAAGGCCGAGCTGACTCGGGGCCGAGTACGTTTTAGGGCCGAGTTTGTAATGCACTTAAATTTGCAGTCTATCAAGCGAAATATATCAATAGCTTTACCAGATTGTGAAGAAAACTTGATTATACATACGGAATAGATTGCAACCAAAATATCAACGTAATAGCTGGGACTTCGTAATTGATAGCAAATCTTCTCAGCCTTTTCTCGGAATAACTGACCAAGATGGCGATTTCGGGAAAATGACGTCAGAGGGAATATAGTTCGTATTCATACGCATACAAATTTTTACTCTGTCATTCACACTTTTTAACCATTTTAAGCTTGAAAGTTATCTAATATGAAAATCGTATTCCATTTTTCCTGAATTATTGTGTTCTATGATAGTTAGTTAATTTATGACTTGATAAAATTGGCACCAAATGTATGCAAGTACTTTGGCTCTCGTGCATCGGGAACCAGAAGGTAGAACAAATTAACTGGTTCTCATTAAATTTTTATCGACTGCTAGCGTAGTAATATTCAAATCGCGTAAAGCAATGGTATATGTAATTTTGTGATAAAAGGATTTAGAATTTAGTAATAAAATGACCAGTCAATTTCAAAATAGATACGGTATAATGATGATCTGAATATTATGGCAAAATATTGGAACTATTTTTGCTCAGCGCAGCTAGATAGCCTAAACGCGTTCAAAGGGTAGTAAGCTGAATTTATCGTAATTACATTGGGGGCTTGCGCCCCCAAAAATGACGGAAAAAATCCTCAGTGAAAATATAGTTAATGTGTATGCGTAAATCACTTTAGGAAGTATAATTAATAAGCGGTTACAGACTCTTTAATTGCATCAATGCTTATGAATACTTTAGAAACGGAAATTGTGCACCAGGAAGTGAAATGAGTATTTCTTCAACAAAGTTCAATAATCATGCGCGTTAAAACAACAATATAGCGCTAGATGTAAGCGTTATACCATAGGCGCGCCAGTTAAAAATGGTTCTTTTCACTTCAAACTTTCTTTATTTTTGATATGTGATGAATAGAATATTGAATTCGTGAAAGTTTTTTACTAAATTTATTGAACTCATTGAATAAAATAAAACTACGTGTATGCTCGACAGAGCTCGCATGATATAGACGATATTCGAGTTTTTTTTATCTAAATATATAGGAATTATCTTCATCGAGTGGTATGAAAATGAAATTTCATGAGTGGCGGTAGCCACGAGTGAAATATAATAGTTTTCATACCACAACATGTAATATGTCCTGTATTTATAGAAATAAATTCAGTATTTAACTCAACCCACTCTTATATCTCCTGGCGTCATGTGAATAAAAGGGTTTGCATTGGCTTGACTTAAAGGACTTGACAATATTACACTAGATTCAATCTGGTCTTCTCGGCTATTTAGTTATGTTTCGCAATAGACCTCTGACATAAGCTACTTTCAGACATTTAAATGTCGTTCTTCGCCAACTAATTAAGTACATCGTTGAAACAATTTTTTTACCTGAAAAATCAGGTAAGATTTTTGTTTGGACAAAGGCAATTTCTAAAGCTGCCCCTTTGAAGTGATGATGGTCTGTTGATTATAAGTAGAATTTGATATCTTTTTTCTGATACTATCAACATGAAAAAATAACAAAAAAAATCAAAGATTTAATTTAACAAATATCTGTAACATAATGAAAATTAACTGAATCCCACTGTAACCTTGTGTAACCCTTGTATCTCTTGACATAAGGGTATAGTTTGTTGTACTAGTGTTTAAGGTGTCTGCCAATCGAGGTTTAAAGCCCTATTCTGGTCTTGACACGGACTTCAATTACACGTGATTAAATTACATAAAGTATGTGGATCTTGACCACTTGTTCGCAAGATAATTTCATTTGAATGTTTTTCAATGTATATAATTGATTCAGAAAAGTAAAGAAAACGGAATCCCTAAAGAACGCTCAAAACGACAAAATTGAACATGTTGTAGGCACGATTTAACCACGGATTTATATTATATCCGTGGCTTAACTGAGCCTGTACATGGACAGTACTGGAATGTGAAAGTTACCGTTCACAGCCCCTAACGCCGGCTATTATTGAAATGAAATTATTGAAGTGGGCGAACTTAGGTAATTCGTTATTGTGAGCAGTGTTTAAGGTCTATTATGCCTTTTTCCAGGTACAGCATTTAATTTAAATAATTCATAAATGTTCATGGCTGAAAGTAAGTTCTATTTGATTATTTTAGAAAGGTGCAAAATCTTATTAGAAAAAGTCGGATTGTCACAAAAATGACTCGTTTTTATCAGTCATCCACTATATCAGCGACCCATGTGAGACGATTTTTTATTTTACGTTCGTCAGTGGTGCTAATCGTTATTATTTTATTTTCTTATATAAAACTAGTGGTGGAAATGTTCAAGGAGCAAAATCGTGAATTATTATACAAGAATTTGTTTTACAATGAAATAATAATTTCGACAAATTATTGGGCGAATTGTGAGCAGGGCGAATCTTTATATTTACCTCTTATTACTTCCCCTACGCTAAAAGCGCCACTTCATTGGCGGAAGAACGGGCATCTTACCGTATCAACTCACTCAGAGATAAATACTGATAGATACTGTATGCTCTTAACCAATGTGAAAGAAAATAAATATGTGCTACCCGGTTAAAAGATTCGCATTTGAAGTTTCAGGTAAGGTTGTTATGTCTATAACTAAAAGGAAAAGGCATGTTTATCATGTGCACGTGCATTATGTGACAACGAGTTGTTCCCCTTCCGGGTAAAGTTTCAACACTGTTCAACCTGAAACCAACTCGGTACGTGTCAGCTCAGCTAATCTACACAGTGTTTCTGCCCGACTAGATTTTTGGGGCGTCCTTTGTGACCCTCTGTATAAAAATATGGTCATTTGAAATAACGAAGGGTCAAATTTGAAAAAAAAAAAAAAGTACAGAAGTATACTCAACATCACTAATTCCGCGTCATCACTTATCTCACGGTAATGGCATATTTTCATGTGACCAGTGTTAAAATTGGTCAGAATTGACATATTTTATTCAAACACCTTAACAACAAAGTTTTTGTGCAAAATAATTTAAATCTATAGATTTTTACGTAAAACTGAACAACATTTTACAAACTGAATTACAGTCAAATCGGCCCCAAGTCAGATCGTCCCCAAGTCAGATCGGCCACAAAATAGTCAAATCGGCCCCAAGTGAAATCGGCCTCAAGTCAGATCGGCCCCATTTTTTTTTTTATTTTCTTAATTCATTATTCATTTTCTTATTTTTTAAATGTTGATAAAAATCAATTGTGTGGATGGGAATACCAAATGACAAAAAATGGATTACATAGAAAACAAGAACAAAACATATAATAATCAATCTAATTTATTATATTCATTTGAAATCATTTTATCAAGAGTTTAATATATATGTTTTTTTATAATTATACTAAGACTTTTTTCAATTTTGTTTATTATGATTGATTTGTTGTATGATAAACAGCTAATTTAAAGTGTGAACAACATGCTTCCCGATTAAACGTCTCACTCTTTAATTGGATGGATGTCTCTATAAATAAGTATTTTTCGGACAAAATAATCATAACAGAACAGAACATATACTTTATTTCTGACTTGGGCATAATACCCATGATGGCCATCATCTCAACATACATATACATGTATATTTATTATAATGCATGCACCAAGAAATCATGATATAATCAGAGACATAGATAACTATGTCTCTGATATAATAAATTCAAGAAGTTATATTCACATAATTATATACCGATTTTTTTAAAGGGACAGTTTGAGAATTTACGTTTATATAAGATGGTCATCAATTAAATATCAAATTATAAATTCATATATGATATCTATATTGTCTGCGTGTTCCTATATTCACTCATGTGCGACAAATCAAATTAAGTTTGAACATCACATAATTTTGTACCGTCACGTTTAATCAGGTAGCACGTTGTTCATACTTAATTATCGTTAATTGCATCAATCATTCGTTAATCCAGTAGCATTGCATTTCTATTTATTATTATCAATAAACTATAATTTAAATTAAAAACTACTCTTTTAAAAAATGTATTTAGAAAATTAGTAAAATACATTTTTGACTGTTGCTAAAAAAATCAACCTTTTTATACATAACTTATTAAATTCACTTCACGCAAAATTGTTTGTTAAATAAGCCGAATTCAATGCATGATTATTTGAGACAATGACTGAATTGATTAAAAGACACATGATAATTGTTTGTTTTTCACATAATTATTTATCTTCAAAACGTAGACCGACCTTTATATGTTCAGATATTTAATTGTAATTTATGTTAAAGTACAATTCTTAGTTAATAACCTTGTAATTTTTGGCGAATAACATTATTTTAACCAAAAAGAGGATTTTTCATAAAAATAACTTTAGGGCCGATTTGACTAGTTGTGAGGCCTATTTGACTAGTTTTGGGGCCGATTTGACTCGTTTTGGGGCCGATTTGACTTTTTGAAATTGTTGTGTGGCCGATTTGACTAATTTTGAGGCCGAATTGACTAATTTTGGGGCCGATCTGACTTGGGGCCGATCTGACTTGGGGCCGATTTGACTAGTTTGCTTACAAACTTGAGCAAACAACAACAATAGTCCATTAAATTTGTGCATACGTCTGAAACAATCATCATTTTCTAAATGTTCTTGTTTGTTGAAAAAATAAATTTTGAGTTACAATGTAAAAATACTTTTAATATTTAAAATTATGCAAAATAACTTAAAGAAATTTTAACTGAAACATGAAAAATCTGAAATAAAACACCATTACCGCGAGGTAAATGATGACATACGGTTTTCAAAATGGCCGACACACGGTTTACATCTGACAAATTAAAACTAATTTTGATTGAATATATTGTTGTTTCCTTGTGTCATATAGCAGAAAAAATGACTAAATGATACAGTTTATGACAGTTTTTGTAGTGTAAGTTTATTGTTTGTGTTTTTTACTGTTTTAAAGTGTTAAGTACCGTGAGTTAAGAGAAGCACAGTATAAATCTAAGAACAGTATGATTTCACATGTTAACTTCAATTTCGTTGCAAAGCAAGAATCAAGGCTTATTTGCATTTAAACATTTGACCTGTCAGACATCTTTTTATTGCAGAAACTTTGATATTTTGTGCACTAAAGCCCCTGTCTTTTATGGTGTGTTTGCCATTGTGAGAAAAGTGTCTGCATGCACAATTGCTTGTTTACCCAGACCACACATGTCTAAATCTAATAACTTATTGCAGAATGGTAAAAAGTTGGACAGAAAATGTGCCAATAACGACACAGAATCAGTTAGATCTAGTAATATATACATACACGCAGTTACCGGAAATAAATAAATTTCGGATACTCAAATAATTGATTTAAATTGGATGGCGCTAATAATAGGAGAAACAACTTAATGAAAAGACATCCAAATAAGGAAGATTAAAACTGCGTCATAGATAACGCGCTTTGCAAATTTGAAAGAGTCATTCTTTAAATTATTGAGTCAAAAATGCAAAAAATGGAGAGTAGCGGAAACACTGTCTACATATAAATTTATTCTGTCTATTGGCCAAAATAGTGTATTTACCCTCAGACAGGACCACATACCGGACAAAATTTCTTTGTATCATGGGCAATCTTTAGGGATGCTAGTATTAAATTGTATTCACAACAGTAATTACACATAATGTTTAAATGTTACAGCATCTCGGATAAAGCCCATGAGATCTTGTGTCCAAATCATTTAAGTTTTGTTTGGAGAAACTTTAACTATTGCTTATATTCATTTTGCTTAAATGCTTTAAGCTGTCAAATACATGTATAGTCAAAATCACTAATTCTGCTTAATTTATTTCACTGTAATGGCATATTTCAAGGTGGTTTTTTGTGTCGCCTTTAAAAAGGCGACATAAAGGGGTTACTTTTGTTGGCATGTGCGTCATTGTCGGTGTCTCCTTCAGCTTGTTTGGAGCAAAAGTCAGTCGTTATAAGTCGGATTGACTTCAAACTTGGTATGCATGCTTCTTATAATGACTTGAAGTGCAGTTCACAAGAACCGGTACTCTGCATCTCTTCTTTTTTGAGTTATTGCCCTTTGTTAATTTTCATACTTTATTTTTGTCCAGGCCAATTTTCTCCTAAAGTATAAAAGCTATGGACATGAAACTTCATAGGATGATAGATCTCATTGAGAAAAAGTGCAGTGCATAAGAACTAACTGGTACTCTGCAATTTTTATATTTTGAGTTATTGCCCTTTATAAATTTTCATACTTTATTTTTGTCCAGGCCATTTCTCATAAATTATTAAAGCTATGGACTTGAAACTTCATAGGATGATAGATCTTATTGATAATAAGTGCAGTGCATAGAAACTTCTGCTTTGCACTTTTTATTATGCTCCCCGAAAAATTCCGGGGGAGCATATAGTCGGCGCCTTGTCCATCTGTCTGTCCGCCCGTCCGTCTGTCCGTCCGTTTTCTTGTCCGGAGCATAACTTGAAAACCCTTGGAGATAATTTGTTTAAACTTCATACAGTGGTAGAGGGCATTGAGGGGGAGTGCAGTGTCAAAGAACCATAACTCTATTTTGCCCGGTTTTTGAATTATCTCCCCTTAAAGAAAAATCTTGTCTGCGTTTAACTCTAAAACTATAAGAGATATCAACATGAAACTTTGTAGGTGAATAGATCTCAATGGGTAGATGTGCAGTGCATAAGAACAATAACTCTTTTTGTCCTAATTTTGGAGTTATTGCCCTTTGTTAATTTCAACACTTTGAACTTTGTCCGGAACATAACTCTAAAACTATAAGAGATATCAAGATGAAACATTCAGGGCCTTCCCCAGGCCAATTTAGCCGTTTATGGATCACCGGGGCGCTTGGATTTTGGCTTGCATGTTGATCTTAGCGCCGGGGCGCTTGTATTTTGACAGCAGGAGAAACTTCTTATCAACGTAATAGCGCGTGCTACATTGTCGCATTGCGTCATCGATCAATTAATCTCGTGTTATGACAGGATGTGTCTATAAACATATGACCGCTAATAATGCACAGTATTTGTTGATGTAATTAAAGAGCAATCTGTTTTTGGAGAACTTAGCAATTAATTGCTTTTGATTGAAATCAATTATCAGATCAACGGCGATTAAGGATTATGGATAATTTATGTTGCAATAAGTGTGTGTTTTATTGGTTCATGGGAGGTGCTAAATGCGATGTGATTTAGGTAAGATTGTTTTGTTGTTTAAAAAAATATATAAATTTGAGTACTTGAGCAAGGACAACTTCATTCTCAAAAAGTTTTTAAAGAGTCTGTTTCGTAACTTAAAATAAATTTTGAAAAAATGTCTGGCGCTAAGAAAAGGCCTGCATCAGGATCGATTAGCATTACAAATTTTTTTTGTAAGACGAGTGAAAATCAAACCGAGTGTAGAGACACTTTAATTATGGGATGTACAAGTCCCCCTTCTAAAAAAATGAGAAAAGAGAGATGCACTGGTTTTGATTTAAAGTGGAAATCGGAATTTCCTTTGGTTAAAGAGGTTGATGGAGGTAAATAATGAATTTTGTTTTGTTCAAATAGTTAGTTAAAATTTCATTTAACACAGTACTATGTATTTAATATTTTACTTTCTCTTTCTATTATTTTTTTGTGGCCTATCTGCATAAAAAATGTTGCACTTGCAAAAATAATTTTTTTAAACATAATTTATTCTTGAATGTTTGCTGTAGTTTGATGCCTTCTTAAAAAGATTTAAAAATCATAAATGTTAGCATAATGTATTTTAACTCTGTGAAAATTAGTCGTTTTATTTTTTAATTAACAAAGTATTATGTTTTTAATATTGTACTTTCTTTTTGTAATTTTTTTTGTGAGGGATATCTGCATGAAAATGTTAGATACCTATTTGTAAGTTGAATGTTTGCAGTTGTTTAATACTTTCTTTAATTTTATAGATTTAATTTTAACAAACTGTAATTATTTCATTTATGTGGTATTATGTTTGATGTGTGCCCTCTGCATACGCCACCAGCGCCGCCCCAAGAGAGCAGCAGTAGGACAGGCAACATGGGTAGACCAGCCATGTACCTGGATTGTCAGGAAGGCCATCACACGCCACCAGACCAGTGATTCTCATAAAGAAGCTGCAGCATTTGAGGCTAACAGGTCTGCACCAAAGACAATGCATGGAGTGGTGGAAGAGATGACCAGCCTGCAGCTCCAGGCTCGGGTGGCAGCATTCCGCAACCTGTACTGGCTTATTAAGCAGGAAATGCCACACACCTCAAACTACCTGCCACTTATGCAGCTATGTAAGACACTCTTTTGTATTTTGTATAGAATTCATGATGGTTGAATACTTATTTTTATAAGAAATATAAATATCTAGTGGTATGTTCTTTAATTAAGTCACTGTTGTACTTTTTAGCTCACCTGTCACAAAGTGACAGGGTGAGCTTTTGTGATCGCTTTTCGTCCGGCGTCCGTCCGGCGTCCGTCCGTAAACTTTTACTTTAAATGACATCTCCTCATAAACCACTTGGCCAATTTCATCCAAACTTCACAGGAATGTTCCTTTGGTGGTCACCTTTAAAAATTGTTCAAAGAATTTAAGTCCATGCAGAACTCTGGTTGCCATGGCAACCGAAAGAAAAAACTTTAAATATCTTCTTTTAAAAAACCATAAGAGCTAGAGCTTAGATATTTGGCATGAAACATCTTCTAGTGAGTGTCTACCAAGTTTGTTCAAATAAAAGCCCTGGGGTCAAAATTGGCCCCGCCCCGGGGGTCATTGATTTTCCCTATATGCATATAGTAAAAACTTAAAAAATCTTCTTTTAAAGAACCCAAAGAGCTAGAGCTAAGATATTTAGCATGAAACATGTTCTAATGGATGTCTACCAAGTTTGTTCAAATAAAAGCCCTGGGGGTCAAAGTTGGCCCCGCCCTGGGGGGTCATTGATTTTCCCTATATGCATATAGTAAAAACTTTAAAAAATCTTCTTTAAAAGAACCAAAAGAGTTAGAGCTAAGATATTTAGCATGAAACATGTTCTAATAAGTGTCTACCAAGTTTGTTCAAATAAAAGCCCTGGGGTCAAAATTGGCCCCGCCCAGGGGGGTCATTGATTTTCCCTATATGCATATAGTAAAAACTTAAAAAATCTTACTTTTAAAGAACTCAAAGAGCTATGGCTAAGATATTTAGCATCAAACATGTTCTAATAGGTGTCTACCAAGTTTGTTCAAATAAAAGCCCTGGGGTCAAAATTGGCACCGCCCAGGGGGTCATTGATTTTCCTTATATGTGTATAGCAAAAACTTAAAAAATCTTCTTTGAAAAAACCCAAATAGCTAGAGTTAAGATATTAAGCATGAAACATCTTTTAGTGAGTGTCTACAAAGTTTGTTCAAATAAAAGCCCTGGGGTCAAAATTGGCCCCGCCCCGGGGGTCATTGATTTTCTTTATATGTGTATAGCAAAAACTTAAAATCTTCTTTGAAAAAAAACAAATAGCTAGAGTTAAGATATTAAGCATGAACCATCTTCTAGTAAGTGTCTACAAAGTTTGTTCAAATAAAAGCCCTGGGGTCAAAACTGGCCCGGCCCCAGGGGTGTCATTGTTTTTAACTATATGTGTGTAGTAAAAACTTAAAAAAATCTTCTTTTAAAAAGCCCAATGAGCTAGAGCTTAGATGTTTAGCATGAAACATTTTCTTATGGGTGTCTACCAAGTTTGTGCAAATAAAAGCCCTTGGGTTAAATTGACCCTGCAACATTGGGGGGAGGGGGGACTATATACAGGTGAGCGACCTCAGGGCCATCATGGCCCTCTTGTTTTTGTAAAATTGTTTGAACTTTATCATGTTATAACAGTTTTCTTACAGGCAAAGAGCAAGGTGTCAATATCTTGTCAAACCTTGACCAGGGAGGAAATAACAATGGCCAGTCTCAGCGGTTCATCCAAGAGGCTGTCTTGACCATGGGACAGTGCCTGAGGGACAACCTCCTGGAAAAAGTACGGGCATCACCATGGTACACCATAATGGTGGATGAAACAACAGATGTTGCCGTCCTCAGTGAAATGATTGTTTATATAAGGTATGAGATAACTAATATGAAATATATTTCAAAGTTAACATTAAACTAGTACATGCAAAGTTTTAAAAAAATCAACATAAAATACATATTTTGACAGACACTTATCAATTTCTCAATTTTCAAATTATTTCAATAGATTTCTAAAGGATGGTTGCAGCCAGACAGAGTATTTGTCGATCGTGCCTCTTAAAGATGGCAAGGCAGATACCATCACAACAGCCATCCTGGAGTTACTGTCATCATGCAACCTGCCTCTGCAGCAGATGTGTGCCTTTGGAAGTGATGGAGCGGCAGTGATGGTTGGGAAGAAGACTGGGGTTGCTGTCCAGCTTAGACAGAGAGTTCCTCACCTGATCAGCAACCACTGTGTGGCCCATCGATTGGCACTGGCTGTAGCACAGGCTGTGAAAGGGGTTCCTTACCTCCCAAGGTTTAAGGATATCCTTGGGGACCTCCATAGGTTTTATGATCACAGTCCAGTACGCACATCAGGCCTGAAGGACATACAGGTAATTACTCATGTAACCAGTTTTTTGTGTGATTCCACTTTGTACTCTACTTAGAATTAAAATAATTGACTCCTAAGTGGAAATTAATATAAAAAATGAATGCCTGAAATAGAGCAGAGAATTAACAGTGTATAATCTTCACTATGTTTTGTATATGATATCATGTGCAAATATTTATTGATCTCTATTTTAGAAATTGCTGAATGAGCCAGTTCTCAAGCTGGTAGAAGCTAAGGATGTACGGTGGCTGAGCCATGACAAGGCAACAAGCACGCTGATGAAGTGCATTCCTTCAGTGTTTACAAGTCTGGAACGGGAGGCTGAGGAGAGGAATGATGTCAGGGCAGCAGGACTTGCAAAGTTCACCCAGAACCATCACTTTGTAATGTCTCTTCATATGATGTGCGACACTCTACCTCATCTCACAGAACTATCAACTGTCATGCATGTATGTGTAGATTAAATACAAGATACTCCCAAGTGAAATAGTATCATTTAAAGTTATGTTTAAAACTTTTAAACTATTATTTTAGTTTATTTAAACTTGTCTTTTTCAACAGGTAAAAAATTAAAATGCTGAAAACAGGTACATTGTATACATTGTACGTTTGTTTGATATCTTCAGGCCCGGGATGCTATTTACACTACTGTAAAACCACTTGTGACTGGGACACTGTCCATTCTGCGGGGTCTGCAGACCATGCCAGGGGAGGCCTACCAGAGTGCAGTGCAGAGGGTAAAGGACCTTCAGGCCCAGGGGTTCAACATCAAGCCTCCTTCTGAGCAAGAGACTGTAAACTTTAGAGAGAAGGTAAATTAAATTTTGCTTAATCTAAAAAATTATTTACATAGAGAATACTGAAGTTTCCCTATATGTTGTTTATAAAGTTTCCTAAGCTGAAATGAACAAGGTGTAATTTAAACATTATATTGAAACATGACATTGTATTATTTTAGGTGTTCAATCCATTTATGGAGAACATTGTGAATAATTTGGAGGGCAGGTTTCCAGATCTGCCTCTTATACAGAAGTTTGAGGTTTTTAACACAAGGAAGTTTCCTGATGACAACAGCACCAGTCATGGGGAAGAGGACATCAAGGTATAATGAAATAACAATTTTCTAATGAACAGATGCTTGTTGTTCTTTTATTTAGCTAACTGGACAAGTTAATAAAAAAAGCATGATTGTTGTTAAAATAATAGAACTTGAGTGTTTTAAATATTTTAATATAAAACAAATTCTAACTGTTGCAGTATAATGTCAAAGAAAGTAGTTTGTAACTTCATTTATAAGATAAAATTGTATTAAAGGTGCTGGCTGAGCACTTTGGACTTGTGGTTGACAAGACCCTTCATGAGTGGCGCCAAGTTAGGGAATCCATTGCTGACAGTGGGCTTGCTGCAGACAAGGCCATGGAGTGGGTTACCATAAATTTGAAAGTCAGCCACACCAACCTCTTCAAACTTGCTGCTGTGGGGCTGTTGATCCCTACATCAACATCAGGTGAGAAAAATAAAAACTACAAATATAAATCAAATCATACAAACTATTCAGTCACAAAATTTCAAATATTAAACAAAACAAAAATAAAACAATAACTAACTTTTTGCAACGTAAACAACATTACTCTTTTTTTTGTTTTTATTTTGATTCATGAAAGAATTTTTTTTACAGACTGTGAGCGTGGATTTTCCACCCTCAAGAGGGTTAAAACAACACACAGGGCATCTTTGAGCCCACCTGTTCTAAATGCCATCCTTACTGTTGGGATGTTAGGACCAGCAATAGAAAAGGTTTATATCAACGCCATGGTGAAAATCTGGCACAAGGAGAAACCAAGGTGTAGCCAGCTCTAGACAGTCATGAATTAACTGATAAAACATTATTGTTTTATTAGCTCGACTTTTTTGTTTTTGAAAAAAAAAGTAGAGGTATTGTTATAGTCAGGTCGGCGTTGCCGTTGCCGTCTCCGTTGCCGTCCGAAAACTTGTACCTGGATCATAACTTTTTTATTTCTTGCTGTATTGTCTTCATACTTGGCCACAACAACCCTTGGGATAAGACCTTTCAGTAGACCACACTTACCTTGACCTTCATCCATAAATGACCTTGACCTTCAAGGTTAAAAGTCCAATTTTTGCTTGTTCATGCTGTTATTGGCTGTTACTTTGTTATTTTTGAATGGATTGTCTTCAAACTTGAACATAAGAATTTTCAAGGATATCCCTTAAAAATAACCAGTCAGACCTTGACATTCACTCATCAATGACCTTGACTTTGAAGGTCAAATTATTGAAATTTTCATTTTTTTGGCTATTATAGGCTGTAACTTTGTTATTTTTGAATGGATTGTCTTCAAACTTGAACAAAATAATCTTCAAAGATAATTGTTAAAAATATACCGAAAGACCTTGACCTTCACTCATTAATGACATTGCCTTTGAAGGTCAAATTATTGAAATTTTCATTGTTTTGGCAGTAACTGACTGTAACTTTGCTATTTTTGAAGGGATAAACTTCATATTATAACAGAACATTCTTAAGGACCAGACCTTGTTGTTTATCAAACCCAAATTTGCTTGGGCTCTTCAATGACCTTGACCTTGAAGGTTATATTACTGAATTTTCTCAGATTGTGCATTTATTGGTGTGTGTGTATGTATAGTATATGTATTATATATATATATAAATGTGTGTGTGTATATATATACATATATGCAGGTATATATATATATAAATATATATATATATATGCATGTATATATATATATATATATATACATATATAGATATATATATATATCAAATATATCAGATATATATATATATATATATATATATACATGTATATAATTGCGTCATTTTTTTCTATTTTTAGAAATTGCGTCATTTTTGTTCTATTTTTAGAAATTGCGTCATTGTTTCTATTTTTAGAAATTGCGTCATTTTTTCTATTTTTAGAAATTGCGTCATTTTTTCTATTTTTAGAAATTGTGTCATTGTTGCTATTTTTAGTAATTGCGTCATTTTTTTCTATTTTTAGAAATTGCGTCATTTTTTCTATTTTTAGAAATTGCGTCATTTTTTTCCCTATTTTTAGGAATTGCGTCATTGTTTCTATTTTTAGAAATTGCGTCATTTTTTTCTATTTTTAGAAATTGTGTCATTTTTTCTATTTTTAGAAATTGCGTCATTTTTTTCTATTTTCAGAAATTGCGTCATTGTTGCTATTTTTAGAAATTGCGTCATTGTTGCTATTTTTAGACATTGCGTACTGTTGCTATTTTTAGAAATATGCTTAATGTTTCTATTCATATATATACAAAATATATAAACAAAACTAATGTGACAAGACAGACCAACTAAATTTATAAAAAGGAAACATCAATATATGTTCAAACCTTTCTATGTTTGCGTTTAGAAAAAGTAAAAAGTCGAGCGTTGCCCCCGCCCGGCGGTGGCTCTTGTATTTATGTGTGATATATATTTTTCTGTTTAAGTTATTTGAAAAGACAATAAAATATGTAAATACTGAACACCTTTTGTTTGTCTAAACTCTCATTAAATATGCACCAAAATACACCATTCCATTGTAAGGTTTCAAAAAATTTTCGACATGCGGGAGGGGGGAATCCCCCCTCACCCACCCACCCCCTCCAAGTTGCGCTTACAGAAATTTCTGGGGAAGGCCCTGACATTGTAGGTAGATAGATCTCATTGAGTAGAAGTGCAGTGCAAAAAAACCATAACTCTGTTAAGCCTCATTTTTGAATTATCTCCCCTTAAAGAAAAATCTTGTCCTGGGCATAACTCTAAAACTATAAGAGATATCGACATGAAACTTTGTAAGTGAATAGATCTCAATGGGTAGATGTGCAGTGCATAAGAACAATAACTCTTTTTGTCCTAATTTTGGAGTTATTGCCCTTTGTTAATTTTAACACTGAACTTTGTCCGGAACATAACTCTAAAATTATAAGAGATATCAAGATGAAACATTCAAGGCCTTCCCCAGGCCAATTTAGCGCCCCGGCACCGGGCCGCTTGTTTTTCCGTTTACGGATCACCGGGGCGCTTGGATTTTGGAAAATGAAACTTTGTAGGTAGATGTATCTCAATGGGTTGATGTGCAGTGCATGAGAATCATAACTCTGCCTTGCCTAATTCTGGAGTTATTGCCATTTGTTTATTTTTACTTTTTGAAGTTGTCCGGAGATATCAACAAGAAACTTTGTAAGTTGATTGATAACAGTGATTAGAAGTGCAGTGGAAAGAACAGTAACTCTGCCTTTCCTAATTTTGGAATTATTGCACTTTGAACTTTTTCCAGGGACATAACTCTGAAACTACAAGAGGTGTACTTTCCTGTGTCCAAAACCTATTCGGGGAGCATCACCCAGCTCAAACCGGGCTCTTGTTTTTTGAGTTATTGCCATTTGTTAATTTTCATATTTCATTTTTAGCTCCACTATTCGCAGAATAATCGAGCTAATGCAGTCAGCGTCCCTGTGGTTAAGTTTTTGCATGCAAGCTGGTATCTCCATAATTACTGAAGGGAATGGATTGAAACTTCACACACGTGTTCTCTGTGATTATCTAACATGATTGGCATAAGTCCCATAACTCTGATTTGCTTTTTTTGCATAATTATGCCCCATTTTTGACTTAGAAATTCTTGGTTCAGTTTTTGCTTGCAAGCTGGTATCTCCATAACTACTGAAGGGAATGGATTGAAACTACACACACTTGTTCTCTGTGATTATCTTACATGATTGGCATAAGTCCCATCACTCTAATTTGATTTTTTGCATAATTATGCCCCTTTTTCTACTTAGAAATTCTTGGTTAAGTTTTTGCATGCAAGCTGGTATCTCCATAACTACTGAAGGGAATGGATTGAAACTTCACACACATCTCTGTGATTATCTAACATGATTGGAACAAGTCCAATAACTCTGATTTGCTTTTTTACATAATCATGTCCCTTTTTCGACTTAGAAATTCTTGGTTAAGTTTTTGTGTGCAAGCTGGTATCTCTTATAATAACTACTGAAGGGAATGGATTGAAACTTCACACACTTGTTCTCTGTGATTATCTATCATGATTGGCACAAGTCCCATAACTCTGGTTTGCTTTTTTGCATAATTATGCCTCTTTTTTTACTTAGAAATTCTTGGTTAAGTTTTTGCGTGCAAGCTGGTATCTCCATAACTACTGAAGGGAATGAATTGAAACTTAACACGCTTGTTTTTTGTGATTATCTAACATGATTGGCATAAGCCCCATAACTCTGATTTGCTTTTTTTGCATAATTATGCCCCTTTTTCGACTTATAAATTCTTGGTTAAGTTTTTGCATGCAAGCTGGTATCTCCATAACTACTAAAGGTAATGGCTTGAAACTTCACACACTTGTTCTCTGTGATTAACTAACATGATTGGCACAAGTCCAATAACTCTGATTTGCTTTTTTGCATAATTATGCCCCTTTTTCTACTTAGAAATTCTTGGTTAAGCAAATATCTCCATAACTACTGAAGGGTTTGTGCTTTTTTTGAACAATTTTATGCATTTTATAACAATGAAGCAGTGATTAACTCGATAAAACATCTTAATAACAAGCCTTTGTACCTTTTTGGACAATTTTATGTATTTATATAGGTAAGCATTATTATACTCAATGAAACACACTTGTGACAACTTTTCGAATAGTCCAGCGTTACTGTCCTCTGACATTTCTTGTTTGTTCTGGCCATATCTCCTAAACTATATTGTTCACAAGTCTACACATCCGACTGGGGGAGTTCTAGATTTTCAGTATTTTGGGAAATTCAATTTCACCCATATACCCATGGGATTGGGAATTTCAGCGGTGTTTTGCTAAAAAAATGCAAAATAATATATGACTATGATTTTCAAAATTTCTAGTAATGGTTAATGAAAAACAAAGATGCAATGGTATTATATCCTAAGCACATAGCAGTCCTACTTAAGTTTGTACATGAAAATGACAATCATTCAGTCATTGAGTCTCATTAGCCTAAATGATCAGAAGCACACAATTCTCATCTGCTATATGTCAATCAAAACTATCTTGATTTCGGTTCAAACAAACATTTTTTGGAAGTTCAACAGTTTCTGACTCTTAACTTTCTTTTAACACAGTTTCCTAGGCTAATTTAATAAATAGAGGAAATTGAATGAGTGTAGCTAAATACTAAATTTATTGAACAAGTTGAATAAAATTATATTATGTGAGCCTCTGGCGAGCATAATATTGTTTTATTCAACGAGTTCAATAAATTTAGTATTGAATATACACAAATATAATATTCTGTTTATCACATAATATAAAATAAGAACAATAAACTGTAGAAATGAGTAATTTTTCAACGACGTGCCTATAGTGTAACGCTAACATTAGCGTGCTAAATTTATGTTTCTATATAGCCCAAATGACGTCACGTCAAAGTGTTATTACACTAGTGTAATATCGTTTTTATTACACTCCTGCGCCGCAGTTTATGTGATAAATCTAAATATTAATTTTTGATCTGTGTTTAAAGGGCAATAAATAAAAAGGGAAAATTTAAAATTTTTAAAAATTTTAAAAGTTCTTTTTTTCCCATAATGATAATCAAATTCTATACAATTATATAAGATTTAATTTGTTTGGGATTTTAATGGGGCCATTAAATCTATAACATTTAAAAATTAAATTCATCATAAGAAAACATTGATAAAATGATAAAACCAAATTTTAAATAATAAAAAACAATAAAAAAATTTTACGTTTGTTTTAACTTAAAAAATCAATCACCCATTTAACGGGCCTTTTTGGATTTTTTACGGATATCAAGTTGATAAGAGGTGTGTCAAAGATAGCTTTTTCATTGGTTGCCTCATGATTTCATGAGGCGATTAAAACCAATCAAAAGGCTCGTTCTATATGTTGGTGAAATGTTAATTCTAGAAAAAATATTACAATTGTGGTCTCTGCATTTGGAATGATTTAGTTTGGGGATAGTTTTGCCTTTTATATTATTAAGACACTTGAAAACAGGTCTACACCATGGGCGCTGCTATTTTGTTTCTGATAGTTGTTTACCTTTGCTGACGAACAATATAAATTTTGCTAAACAGGATTTCATTGGTCAATATTTTACGCACCTGTTGTTTTTGGGGGCCAATAATTTTTTTGAAAAAACCCCAAAACCCCCAAAAAATTTTTTTATTTTTTTTTTTTTCAAAATTTACCCGACAGTTGGGTTACATTGTCATGTTAAATCACCCATGGGTACCCGAAAAATGATTATCAATTGCTTGCTGAAATTTATATTCGACCTTCGGTTTTTGGGCAGCTTTAAACCCCAAAAATTTGAAAACACAGCTTGCATTTTACATTTTTTCACAGGGATATTTCAATGTATTTCATTCATAACATTTAATGTTAACATGTTTTTATTATATACTGTAACTCTTTAAAATATAACCCCTTTTAGTAATACACTCAGTTACTAAATTTAGTATTTATTAGTTGGTGACATTTTTTCATTTTATTATAAAACCCCACAAAACGAAGTTTAGGAGGGGTATATAGCGGAGTCAAGCTTTTTGGGTCGTTTTTGGTCAGTCGGTCGGAATTCCGAAAAAAACCCCGTCGGTCCTACATCATGGTTTTCCCGGACAATATCTTAGAGTTTGGGAAAAGCAGAT